TTGCAGTGCAGAAGGGAAGTTTATTGCTGTATGTGCGTACATTAAAAACAAAAGTCAGAAGGAACTCAAATACATAGCAAAATGATACTGTAGGACTTTTGAAACAAACTTAAAATCAGTATACAGAGAGATATAATTAAGATAAGTGTAAAAATTAATAAAATAGAAGTAAAAAACAATACAAAGAAACAGCAATTTGGTTGATTGAAAAGATAAACAAGTAGCAAAATTAAGTAAATATGAAAGAGAAGTTCTAACTTAATAAAAGTAGAAGTAAACATGGAGCCCTTACAACAAATACATAAGAAATTCAGAAAATAGTGAAAAACTTCTATTCCACTAAATTGGAAAAATCTAAAAGAAATAGATAAATGTATAGATACATATGCAAAATTAAATCAAGATGTCATGACTTATTTAAACGGATCCACAACCAACAATGAGATTTAAGCAGTAATATAGTCTCTGAACTAAAAAACAGTACAAGTGCAGGTATATTTACTGCAGAATTCTTTCAGAACTTCAAATAATAACTAACACCAATAATTCTCATTATTCCATAAAATAGAAAAAGAAGAAACATATCCAAACTTTTGCAAAGTAATATTATCACATTAATGGAATCAAGGACAGAAATCCCAATATCATCACAATAGATGTAGAAAAGTCCTGTGACAAAATTCAACATTTTTTATGATAAAAGCACTGAAAATACTGGAGATGGAAGGAGCATATCTATATGCCAAACATATGACAAACCTATATCAAACATTATACTGAATAGAAAAAACTTGAAGCAGTCCTACTAAGATCAGGAATAAGGCAGCAATGTCCATTTTCTCTAGTTTTAGTCCAGCCACCTGCATTTTGACAAATAAATAAAAAAAATATACATCGGAAAAAAGATACAACAGAGAAAAGACATCACTTCCATAAATGATTCTGGGGAAACTAAACATCTATATGTAGAAGCATTAAAGTAGATCCTTATCTCTCACCCTGCACAAAACTCAACTCCAAGTGAATCAAAGTCCTCAATGTAAGACTAGAATTATGAGACTGATAAGGGAAGAAGTATAAAGTTCATGTTAAGATATAGGTATAGCAGAGTGTGGTGGTGCATGCGTTTAGTCCCAGCACTTGGGAGGCAGAGGCAGGCAGATCTCTGTGAGTTCAAGGCTGGCCTGATCGGCATAGTAAGTTCCAGGCCAGCTGGAGCTAGAGGGAGGCTCTGTCTCAAAAAAGACCAAAAAAAATAAAGATATATATATATACGTATAGTTAAGGACAGTCATCCAGTAAATAAAACCAACAATTGAAAATAAGATCTCATGAAACTGAAAAGATTCAGTATTCCATGAATACTGTTAATACTGTTATTCAAGTGAAGAGGCAGAGTACAGAATGGGAGAAAATATTTTCCAGCTATTCATCTGACAGAAGTTTTAATATCTTAAAAAAAAATAATAAAGAGCTCACAAAACTAAACATTAAGAAAACAAACAATCCATTCAAAAAGTTGCCTATGGAACTAAACAGAGTTCTCAAAAGTAGAGATGCAGATGATTAATGAATGTTTTTTTCTAATGTTCATAAGTTTTAGTCATCAGGAAAATGTAAATTAGAAGTACTTTGAGATTTTATCTTATCCCAGTCAGAATGGCTATCATCAAGAAAACAAATGACAACAAATGCTGGCAAGCATGTAACAAAAAGAACAATCTTTATTCGATGTGGAAGAAAGTGTAAACCGATGCAACTGCTGTAGAAGTCAGTGTAGAGGTTTCTCAAAAAGCTAAAAACACAAATACTATATGACCTACCTATTCTGCTTCTGGGCATATATACATTCGGTGGACTCTATATCCTACTACAGAGGTACTTGCAAATCTATGCTTACTGATACTCATTGGCAATAAGCTTGGAAATTGAATCAGTTTACATATCTACCAACTGATGAACAGATAATGAAAATGTGGTACATACACACAATGTAACTTTATTTAGCTGTAAAGAAAATGAAATTATGAAACTTGCAAAAACTGGATGGAACTGGAAAATATTATACTAAGATAAACTAGGACCAGAAAGACAAATATTTTTTATTTACTTTCTCATGTCTAGATTCTAACTTTGAAGTTTTAGATTTGTGAGTTTAACTTGGAGTGTCTGTAGAGGACAAGAAACTAGAGAGGGGCCATGATGTGGCGAGCAGAATACATTAAAGTGAAGCAATAGTAGACACAAATGACATTAGAGAAGCAGGGAGGACTGGCATTAGAAAGAGAGTGATGAGGGTAGGAGATGGTGAAGAGGGGTGATGGAGAGAATTAACCAAAACTTAGGAGATATGATAATACCATATGAAAGCCTATATTGTAAGGTAATTAAAAATATAACTTTTGTTGGTCTTTTTGAGACAGGGTCTCCCTGTAGCCCCAACTGCCTAGAATTCACTATATAGACCAGGTTGGTCTTGAACTCACAAGGATCTGACTGCCTCTGCCTCCCACCATACCCAGCAAAACATAATTTTTTAAAGAGTATGAATGGTGAATGAATGGCTAGATATTGTGGCTCCTGGAAGCCATGAGTTATTAAGTAAAAATCCGATTGTCAGAGGCCAGTGCATTGGAGACCCCATATGCACTGTTGGTTAGGGAGACCTCCCAAATAGGCTATTGCCATTGGTCTCAGTTGTAAACCAGAACTGCATGGTAAGAATCTATTGTTTAAAATGCCACACATTTACATGCAGGACACAGAGAAATCTAGCTGGACCTCACCCAGCTGTGAACCCTATGTACGTCAATATTGACCTGTCAGGCATATGTGTCCATTGGCACAGTACTGACATGTTGTTTATGGGGTAATTGACTGCATTCTGATTAGATTAGAGAGTAATTCTTCAAGAAGGAATTCATGCCTTATATTGTTAACCTCCCATAGCTGGAAAAGTCATAGCGCTGAGCAGAGGAAATAGGGATATACTACTGTTGTTTTGCCAAATGCATATCATGTTAAACTGCCTTTGAAATATTTTTTGCTGTTGTTTGAGACAGAGTTTCACTGTGTAGCCCTGGTTGGCCTAGAACTCACTATGTAGACCAGACTGACCTCAAACTCACAGAGATCTCCCTCCCCTGCCTCCAGAGCCCTGGGATTAAAGGTGTGTGCCACCATGCCTGGCCTTAAATATTTTTTACACCCAGAAATTAGAGCTGTTCTCTGCCTTGGTGTGAGAAACGTCTCTTCGTAGTAAGCAACAGTTAATGCAGAGACTCACAACTATCAAACTACCAAGAATAAGTGACTGATGAGTGCTCAGCCCTAATACAGAATATCTAAATCATCCCTTCCAAGACTTGGGGAACATTACAGAAGAGGGGCAGAAAGAATGTAATAGCTGGAGGACAAGGACGAGTGCCATGAAATGCTATCTTCTGGACATGACATTGCCATTGCACTCATGAAATCACAGCAGTCGTGGTTACGTTCACAAGACTATAGACTACTGGACCCATTAATACTCCACACAGATGGAAGAGATCCTCCTAAGGTTCTACTACTCCCAGAGTCACTAGAGGCAGCTAATTTTTGCTGAGAGAGAAGGAGTCATTTTCTTCAGTGATATAGCCACTGGTAACTTGCCCATGTAAATACACCCCCACGCTCCATATACCCATGCTCATATAAGCAACCCTAATCAAACTTAGTGAGTCATAAGAGAAAAGAAAATATGTGTAAGTAGAAGGAGAACTTGTTCAGTAGAATAGGGGAGCACAAGGGACAGTAATAACAGATATATGATAAAATACATTTATACATGTATAAAATTCTCAAAGAATAAATTTTAGAAGGAAAGAAATGTAGACAAGGTAAAGTTGAATGAGAATATATATTGGCCAAGATTTGAAAATTCTTGAAATTGGATGATGAATACAGCCTATGTTTTTATATTTGAATTTTTCTAAATATGTCTATAAGAATGTTTAATGCCCATTAAATTATTTCTGTATTGGTGTGGTAAGAATTAATGGCCTGAGAGCAGATTTTGACAGTAGAAAGGGGATGAACATGAGGTAAGACATGAAGCATAAAAAGAATCCAGAGAAGGATACAGCTGGAGACAATCTTTATGGCTTACATGACTATTCTCTGATAAACTTCAGAACCCAGCAGTATGTCAGGCTAACAATGGACTTTCCTAATTCTGTGTGACTGAGAGGTGGCAGTAATTCTACTCAACCTCCAATTGTCACTGTCACCATGACTTCCTGGTCCTTATTTTTAGAGTGTGAGATTTCACAATTCACAAAACCAATCTGTCCTGTCACTCCTTCTAAAATGAGCCTGCATCACTATGGTAACAGCAAAGGTAGTCAGTGACTGGTCTAGGCTTTATCTCATATATATATATATATCACAAAAGGCAGAAATGTTTCTATCTTTCAGGATCCAGCCTAGCCTCTCTCTTTCATAGATGACAATGAAAATGTGATCTTGTCTCCCCTTGACCCTAATGGTAACCCTCCAGAAAGCTTGGTTTATAGAGTTCTGCACATCCAAGGAAACTATCATTATCTACATTTAGCAGAAAGGTAAAATGAGACATGGAAAGGCCAAGAACCATTCTACAGTGTGGCAAGTAAAAAACTGGGGTTGAAACATGAATCTACCTGGTGTCAAGGCCAAAGTTCTCTCTCCTTGATGCTGAGGCATTTAAATGCTCATTCAGAAATTATCTATGGGGCTGGAGAGAGGGCTCAGCCATTAAGAGCACTGGTTTAGAAACTGGATTCAGTTCAGAGCACCCACATGGTAGCTAAACCACCTGTAGCTCTGGTTTCAAGGGATCCAAGGCCTGCTTCTGGTCTCCATGGACATTGTACAACATGGGCACACTAAAATGCATGGAGGCAAAACACTCATACACACAAAATAAAAATAAATGAAAATTTTAAGGTTTTTTTACACCATCCAAAAGACACAGTCCATACCTGGTGTCAACTTCTACCATAGCTTTGGAAAAACCCATGTTTTTCATTCCTTGTTCGGCACCTGATTTTTCTCCAGCCAACACCATAACTCTATTCCTCATCACTCTGGCTCACAGCCAATTTCAGCCTGACCAGCATCCTTGTCAGGTAATTTAAAATGTACACCAACAAATCTCTGTGAGAAAAAAAAAGCTGCATTAGATAATAGCAGGAGCTAAAAATAAGAGTCACATTCAGATATCTCTCCTTCCAAATTCTCATTTTTTAAATATTTTTTATTATTTTTATTTTAATGTCTGAGTATATTGCCTGCATGTAGTAGGTGCATCCATGTCATGCAGTGCTTGCAGAAGACAGAAGAGGGTGTCAGATCCCCTAGAACTGGACTTACAGGTGGTTGTTAGCTGCTATGTGCTGGGAAACAAACCTGGATCCTCTGCAAAAACAATCAGTGCTCTTAACTAGTGATCCATCTCTCCAACCCCCTAAATTCTCATTTTTGAAGAAGCCTGCTGCAATAGTGTATGAATGATCACATACATAAAATGTGTATCTGGATTATATAAACGTGAGAGTAATAAAAAATATATTTAGTTTTGTTATTCTTCCAGAGAGATAAAAGAATTGAGAAAGGCTTTTATTTGTTCTCTTCTCTTTGAATACTTTGCTTACTTTTCAAAAGTTTATTATCAGGGACCTAAACAAAAGTTCTGTGGTTAGCATCATTTTCAGTCTAGGAGTTATATTTGGGTTCAAATTTTCAGCCACTAAAGAATCAAAAGGCAGAAAAAATCTCAGATCAGCAGAGAGCAACAGTCAAGCAAACTTTTATTGAAAGATAAAGAGTCACATCCACACACATAAAGAAACACATATGTATATACACACTCATACAACACATCCACACACATAAAGAATCATACATACAGACATAGATTCATACATAAAGATGAAGCTCTCCACAAGTAGAGGGGGACAACAAAACTGAAATCCAATGTTCTCAAGGAACCATCCGGGTTTTAAGGGTTTTAGTGGTTTTCCCTCCCCTAAGTTTGGATAGGTCAACCTAAAAAAGAAGAGAAGGCTGATAGGTCACATCTCCAAGCTGATATCCAGAGCAACATGACTCTAAGCAGGTCAGCTGAATGGACATTGTTCCAGACTTAAAGAAAAAAGAAAAAAAAAAGAAGGCCTTCCTGCCTTCCAGAAACCAAGAAGCAGGAAACAAATGTGCCATCTTGATTAATTCTCAGTGACCCTATTGCTTATTAGGGATTTAGTCCTTTACATTGATACCATCCTTTAGCAATGACTGAGGTTGTGGACCTTGTAGTCTTATAATTCTGCTTTCTAACCTCATTGTAATTGTGCTGTTTTTTAGTCTTTAAACTTCTCGGTCTTCCTCTATTAAATAAAGGCCTTAGTAGATTCCTACCAGCGTTTTATGAGGACTAAATGAAAGGGCTGATGTTAAATTATGTGGAGACCACCAGCATGTGCTGGATTCTAGCCTCCCTCTGGCCTCCAACTACCAGAGAGCCTGAGAACCCAGGGGACAGCCTGACAGCCTCCATATGGTGGTGAGCTTCTCCTAATTGCACCATACCATCTGCCTACCTGGGATTTTATGAGGCCACTCCCAAGGCCCCAGGGCAAATCTGCCCTTGGTAGGGTAAGGCTGGGATCTCAGTAGACTGCCAGAGAGTGCCTAGTTCCGGACCCCTCTGGCCTCCCTCTGGCATAGGGTTCACAACACACAGGACTGCCTGAGAGAGCCTGAATCCTGCCTCCACATGGTGAAGGAAGCCTGAGTGTACCTGACTGGAACCTGAATTGGGCTTCTGTGGGTACCCCTGAATAGCTGATCTGAAGCCATTAGTTCCCTCCAAAATAAACCTGAGAGAAGTTGAACCCTGGACCAACCAGCTTTATATAACCAGTTAAGAAAGATCTAGGCACCTGGATAATACAAACATAAGCATACTTCAACTTAATTCTCATATCAGAATCATAAACAACAAAAGGAATTCACATGCCAAAATCACAATGAAAGAATAATAAAATGGAAAGCCAAAACACTATGTCACCACCAAACCCCACCAGTCCTATAGAAGAGTTCTGCAAGGAGAACCCCCTAGAGATAACCCAGGACACAGAATTTAAAAGAACAATCATAAACATGATCAAGGAATTCAACGAATTTAAAGAACACACAAACAAATAAATCAAAGACATAAAAGAAGACAGGGATAAACTTCTGAATGGATTCACAAAAGAGATAGAAACATTGAAGAAAACTGAGGGAGAAATGAAGAAGGAAGAGAAGAAATAGCAAAAATCAGAGCAGAAATTAATGAAATAGAAACAAAACAATACAAAGAATTAATGAATCTAAGAGCTGGTTCTTTGAAAAGTTAAACAAGATAGACAGGCCCTTAGTCCAGTTAACCAAAAGAAAGAAAGAGCACCTCCAAATCAAATCAGAGATGAAAGGGGAAACCTCACAACAGACTCCCAAAGATCCAAACCATTATAAGGGAATATTTTTAAAACCTATACACTACTAAATCTGAAAGTCTAAAAGAAATGGATGGATATCTGAAATCATGGGACCCTCCAAACTTAAACCAAGAAGAGATCAACAGTTTAAACAGACCAATACCATGTAAGGAAATTGAAACAGTAATACAAAGCCTCCCAACTACAAAAAGCCCAGACCCAGATGGATTTACAGCAGAATTATACCAGACATTTAAAAAGACCTCCAATCAGTACTACTTAAATTATTCAAAATGATAGAGACAGAGGGAGAACTCCCAAATTCCTTCTATGTATGAAGCCAACATCACACTAATACCCTAACTGGGTAAACACACAACCGAAAAAGAAAACTATAGACCCATATTCTTAATGATCATAGATGCAAAAATTCTCAAAAACCACATACAGACACACATCAAAAAGATCATTCACCATGATCAAGTAGACTTTATCTCATAAATGCAGGGATGGTTCAATATATGCAAGTCAATAAACATCATTAATCATATAGAATCAAAAACAAAAAACACATTGTCATCTCAATCTCAATAGAGAAAAGGCTTTTGACAAAATTCAGCTATGTTCAAAGTCCTAAAGGGAATTGTACTAGAGGGAACATACTTCAACATAATTGAAGCTATATACAACAAACCCACAGCTAACATCATTCTAAATGGAGAAAAACTAGAAGCACTCCCATTAGAATCAGGAACCAGACAAGGGTGTCCACTATCTCCACTCCTTTTCAACATAGTGCTTGAAACCCTTGCTAGAGCAATAAAACAAGAGAAGGAAATTAAAGGACTACTAATGGGAAAAGAAGAGGTCAAACTATCACTTTTTGCAGATGATATGATACTATACCTAAGAGATCCCAAAAGTTCCACCAGAAATCTCCTAGAACTGATCAACACTTTCAGTATAGTGGCAGGTTATAAAATCAATCTGCAAAAATCAGTAGCCTTTCTACATACCAAAAATAAGCAACTGGAAAAAGAATACAGGGAAAAGCTCCCATTCACAATTACTATGAAAAAAATTTAAAATATCTTGGAATAAATATGACCAAAGACGCCAAAGATCTCTACAATGAAAATTTTAAATCATTAAAGAAAGATTGAGGAAGACACCAGGAGATGGAAGGACCTCCCATGTTCATGGATTGGAAGAATTAATATTGTTAAAATGACCATCCTAGCAAAAGCAATATATAGATTCAATGCAACCCCAATCAAAATCCCCATGACATACTTCACAGAATTAGAAAAATGCACCTTTAAATTCATATGGAGGCACAAAAGACCCCAGATAGCCAAAGCACCCCTGAGCACAAAGAGCAATGTTGGGGGAATTACTATACTAGATCTCAAAGTATACTAGAGAGCCATAGTCATAATAACAGCATGGTACTGTGGGGACCTAAAGGCCCCCCCTTGCATAAGTCCTAAAGGAAGTTACTGGGGGCATGACCTGCTTTGCTTTGAAACGCTGAAGAATATCCATGGAACAATAGATAATTACCTCCAAGGAGGTGGGAACCCAGAAGGGGCAAACCAAAGCCTTGGCTGCTGTTTTACAGATGCAAACAGAGACTCTGACCCATGCCTTAACCCAGGCATTTAATTCACTTAATTTAGGTCAGCAGGTAAGAATGGGGCCTAGAGGGATAGAAGGTCCATGTTTTGGCTGTGGCCAGACTGGCCATATCAAAAGAAATTTCCCTCAGCAAGAGAACTGGCCTAAGCCTGGAGGTGGGGTATCAAAAAGACCCCCACCTATGCCCTGTCCCTGGTGTCACAAAGGGCTCCATTGGCAAAAGGAATGTAAATCCACATTTGATATTGAAGGAAAGCTTTTAAACTAAGTGGGGGGCAGCCTCCAGCCCCGTTGACAAAAGGAGGACTTCCCCATGATCGGCTACATTTACAATGTCTCAGGGAGGGATCGGGAGAGGAGAAAAACCTATGGCGAATTGGACAGTCCCTATTATCCCTGGTGTAAGGCCCAAGATGGATCTTGAAATAG